ATGAATCAGGAAATCTTGTCAATGTATATAAAGAACTGAATGCTGCTTTTAGAATTGAATCTTTGGAAAAGAATTCAGAATTAATAACTTCAGAAGAACAAAACAACTATATTAAGAATGTATATAATGCATCAGCATATAGCTATCAGAGAGTTAAAGTAATCTATAAATGTATTAAAAGATATTAGAATCTATTAGGCCTTAGGAAAAGAATTAAGAATATTCTATGATAATACAATAGCTGCAAAAAGAATAAGATAAAAAGATACAAATCTTATAAATTACTATATTCCTTATCAGTATTTACAATTATTTAGCAATTTATTAATCTAAACTTTATTATTAAGCTATCTTTCTTATAAGAACTCTTAACTAAAATGCAATATAATAGCATTCTAGTAGTAATTTGCAAACTGAGCAAGTATGCTTATTTTCTTCTTTACAAGAAAAGCAGTATAGCAGAGGAACTCGCATATGCATTTCTCAGAACGATTATTGCTAACTATAGTATGCTAGAAGAAGTAATCTCCAATAGAGATAGAAAGTTTAACTTAAAGTTTTGGATTTCGCTTATGAAACAGCTCGGAATATACTATAGAATGTTTATAGCATTTCATTTACAAATAGATGAATAAACAGAAAGAATGAATCAGATTATTGAGCAGTATTTTCGATACTATATTAATCAGGAATAGAATAACTGGATTGATTTATTATTTCTTGTACAGTTTGCTTATAATAGCGCAGATACAAGTATAATAAAGAAGTTATTATTCTTTATATTCTATGAATATAATTCAATAGCTTATTACAAGATATTGCTAGGAGCAGATGTAGAAGCTGCAGATAAAAGAGTTAAGAAGATTAGAAAAGTTTAGGAAGAACTTCAATCAGAATTATAATTCGTTTAAGAATGAATAATGCAGTATGCAAACTTTAAAAGGATTGAGGGATTAATCCTATAAAAGAAAGATAAGGTTTATCTATTTCGAAAAAATATCAAAATAATTAGATTCAGCAATAAACTTAATCATAAGAAGTTAGGATTATTTAAAATCTTGTAACAAATCTCTCCAGTTAATTACAAGTTAGCATTATCTTATGGAATGAGGATATACTCAGTTTTCCACATCTTACTGCTGGAACTAGCAGTATAGGAAATACTAGCGGATAATACAGCAGAAGTAGAAAATAATGAACCAGAGTATGAGATAGAAAAGATCCTTAAGCACAGAAGCACAGACAACACGAGGGAATACCTTGTCAAATGGAAAGGTTACTCAGCGAGCGAAAATTCATGGGAACTGAAGAAAAACGTTAAAAATGCTCAGGAAAAGATAGCTGAATATTGGAAAAGGAAAGCTAGCACCTAAGATGATTACTCCGCCCCGGAGCGAGATCCAGGGGCTTCAGAGACCTCGCTCTCCAGGAAACCCGACTAATTCACTACTACATTCCCTACATCTACAGAATTCCAGTTAAAATCTCCAAAAGAGGGACTCTCAGGAACAATCACGGGCTCTGCGGAAACCACAGCCTGCACCTCAGCCGCCACGCGCTCGCGCTTCTCCTCTTCCAGGCTCTCATTCACCAGTTTTATTCCCTTCTCCTGAAGAAAGCATTGCTGCTTTTTCAAACGAGATAAACAATCTAGGGACTCGGATAAACGAGTCTGAGCATCTGCTAGCTCTCGCTAATGCTCCAACAAATGCTCCTCCTTCTCTACCTCCCTACCATTCAAACAAACCAACTTATCAGTAATACAAGATACTAAGGCAGTACTATCAGCAAGAACTAAGAAAGAGGAAAGGGAAGGCTTACGAGAAGATATGAGAACTCGATCAGCATTACAGAAACAATCTCATTTCGTATACTGAGAACAGCTCTTGATCTTATCTACTATTTTGCATTGCATCCCCTCCTTCAGATATAATAAGTATAGCATAACTTTGTAGCTAGAGAACTTAATATACAAATAATGCTTGAGATAACGAAGATGCAGCTTCAAGAAAGTAATAGAAGCACTAGAAGAAGATTTGCTAATACGGGAATTTAAGATTCTGTTCAACATCTCGATTAGGAAGGCATGATCACGCATACGGAGAACTTGCCGAATACTTACAGGAGATCGTTGAGAACAACAACTGATAGGAGGGAGATGATATTATAACCTATTCAATATGCAGATTACGAGAACAGATCATAAGCAAACAAGGACTAGGTATTATGATTCAATGTTAGACAATCTACAAGGATTACGTAATTCAGAGTTAGAGTTACAGGCTAACTAATCAGATAATAGGGCGATTACTAGTGATTATCAGTGCTTAGTGATTAGTAGTAATCTGATATGATCAGTGATGATCTAGGATGATTACTAGCAAGCAAGGGACTGAAGAATCAGGTATATGAAGGTTTACATTTCTTACTGTTAGATAGATTTTCTTCAGATAGTTCTTTAGTTGTTAATCTAAGTATTCAGTTTTATATACTGAGTAGCCTCAAAGGCAGTGAATACTTGCATTGCTTATTGAGACTTGTATGGTTCCGTATTCAAGGACTTGATATTTTGATATCGCTCTTGTTAGCATAAACCTCTTGTGTACTTAGGAATCTTCGGATCGCTGCAGTGCTCATTACATCCAGCTTCATTCCAGGAAATAATCAATTATATTCTATGCAAGTATCTGAATTAGTTCATTATTGCTTATCTCGATAATATTCTTATCTACTCTCGAATACTTGAAGAATATAAGAAACATATGGAAACAGTATTATAAACGCTTTAAAATGCAAAACTCCTTATGAAATCCGCAAAGAATCACTTTCATATACAAAAGGTTGATTATCTCGGATTTACAATCGAGCCAGGATATATTAAGCTACAGAAAAACAAGATAGAAGCTATTAGAAATTAGCCAGTTCCCAGGAATATCAGGAATATTAGGTTTTTCCTCGGATACATTAACTTCTACAAGCAGTTTATTAAGAACTATAGCCAGATCGCATATTCCCTTACAAATCTCACTAAAAAGAAGCAGCTCTTCGAATGAATCCCTAAAGCACAAGAAGCCTTCGATAAGATTATCAAGTATATTATCTCAAAACTAATTCTATATAAAGTAGATTTCTATAAACTCTTTGAAGTTGAGATTGATGCATTGGGATATATACTTGAAGAATAACTTGATTAGCGAGATGATTAAGAATGATTAAGGATTGTAAGCAACTTTTCGAAGAAATTGAATAGCTCAGAAATCAACTACAGAATCTCTAATTAGAAACTTATAGCAATAATAAAAGCTTTTGAGAAGTAGCAATACTATCTTATTAGCATATAATATCTGATCATAGTTTACTCGGATTATAAGAATCTAATTACATTTATAATAATTAAGATTTTGAATAAGTAATAAATTAGATAAGCAGAATTCCTCTTATAGTTTAATTTCAAGATTGTATACTGCAAAGGCTTGGAAAACAGATAAGCGAATGCTCTTAGCAGAAGATCAGACTATTGAGATGCAAATTCTTCGGATATATAGAATATCTTTGCTCAAAATAAATCAGGAAATCTCGTTAATGCATATAGAGAACTGAATGCTGCTTTCAGAATTGAACTCTTGAAGAAGAATTCAGAATCAATGATTCCAAACGAATAAGATAATTATATCAAGGATATATACAGTGCACTAGCATACAGATATTAGAGAGTTAGAGCAATCTATGAATGCATCAAAAAATACTAGAATTTACTAAATCTTAGAAAAAGAATTAAAAGCATCCTACAATAATACAATAATTGCAAGAAGAACAAAACAGAAAGATACAAGCCTTATGAACTACTACACTCCTTACTAATATCTATAACTATTTAGCAATCCATTAGTTTAAACTTTATTATTAAGCTATCTCTCTTATAAGAATTCTTAACTAAGATGCAATACAATAGCATCTTAATAGTGATTTGCAGACTAAGCAAGTATGCTTATTTTCTTCTCTATAAGGAAAGCAGTATAGCAGAAGAACTTGCATATGCATTTTTCAGAATAATTATTACTAATTACAGCATACTAGAGAAAGTAATCTCCAATAGAAATAGAAAGTTTAGTTCGAAGTTTTGAACTTCGCTTATGAAACAGCTCAGAATATACTACAGAATATTTATAGCATTTCATCTGCAAATAGATAAACAAATAGAAAGAATGAATCAAGTTGTTGAATAGTATCTTCGATACTATATCAATCAGAAACAAGATAACTGAGTTAATCTGTTGCTTCTTACACAGTTTGTGTTATAACTCATCCAACATGCAGGTCACGAAAACAGGTCACAGGCAAACAAGAACCAGATATCATGACTCAATATCAGACAATCTACAAGGATTACGTAACCCAGGGTTAGGGTTACGAGCCAACCAATCAGACAATAGAACGATCACTAGTGATTACCAGCGCTCAGTGATCAGTAGTAATCCGGAATGATCAGTAATGATCTAAGATAATCACCAGCAAGTAAGGAACTGAAGAATCAGATATATGAAAGTTTACATTTCTTACTATCAGATAGATTTCCTTCAGATAGTTCTTCAGTTATCAATCTAAGTATTCAGTCTTCTATACTAAGTAGCTCCAAAGGCAGTAAACACTTGCATTACTTATTAGGATTTATACGATTCCGTATTCAAGAACTTAATACTTTGATACTGCTCTTGTTAGCATAAACCCCTTTGTATACTTAGAAATCTTCAGATTGCTGCAATGCTCATTACATTTTAATAATTCTTGTTCAAGAACAGTTCAGTATTACTCCTTGAGCAATACAGAATACAATAGCTTCTCCAGGAATCCCTTTGTTCTCGCACGCCTCTACTCAGAAAGAACTAATTAATCAGATATACCAGCTTATCCAGCATATTCAGAACCTGCGCAAACAATAGCAAGCTTAGAGCGCTACTATCGCTAACTAATAAGCTCAGCTAGCTTAATAAGCTTAGCAGATGCAGTCTATCTCTGCAATTATCAGTAGCGCTGGAAAAGTATACAAGATAAATAAGCTTGCTATATATAATAGTAATCAGAAGATGCTGCATGGATTCCTTACTTACTGCAGAGCATATTTCCTATATTATAAAACTCAGTTTATTAAGAAATCTGAGAAGATTATTCTTATAGGAACTCATCTTGAAAAGAATGCTCTTATCTAGTACAAACCTTCTCTGCATAATTACTTGAAGCATCAGAATGATCTCAGCGTATATATCCAGAGTATCAAGAATATATTCGATTCCTTTAAGAGCTTCGAGAAAGCTTTCAAAGAAACCTTTAGTAATTTCAATGAAGAATGCATTATAGCTTAGCAGTTTATAAATCTCAGATAAACCAAATCAGCTTCTGCTTATATAGTTAGATTCAAGCAATTCTTAGCAAGACTTCTGTAGGAAAACAAGAATCTTATAGAATACTATTATAAGAGATTCAAGAATAATGTTAAGAATGAAATCTTCAAGCAGAATTAGCTGAAGAACTTTGCAATATTCTCTAATCAAGCTATCTGTATTAACAACTGTCTATATGAATAATGGATAGAGAAGTTTAAGAAGGAAGAAAGCTAGACTTAGAGATTTCCAGCTAATATGAATAAGAAATTTCAAAATAAGAATAGCAATCAGTATAGCAGTATAGCTTAGAGCAGCACTATATATGCTAGTTCTATAGAATTCAATGCTGCTAATAAACAGTATAGCAAGAGAAATAGCATTACTTGCTACAACTGCAATAAATAAGAATATATTATATGCAACTGCTATCAATTTCAGAAGAACAAATAGCAATTAGTTCAGAAAGAATACTAGATGAATATTGCTTAATAATAAAAACTCAATCAACTGAGCAAAAATACTCTCTTGAAGCAAGTATTAGATTCTATTAATCACAGAAGTCTCAGCTGAACATTCTGCTATAATAACAACTGCTTAATATATTTCTTAAGTAAGAAAGATTCAGAATAGTTCTTTCAAAAATCTAGGCGCTGCAGACAAATAGCAACAGCAGAATGAGAGTGCATGCTCAGCATCCTTATGAGTAATAGCTCGAATTGCTCTAATATTGCAGAACAGAGCATTCAAGCATTGAAAGAAAAGCTTAGCAATAATACTCTTTAATATTCTTTATTGCTTATGCTAAGCATTATAATTAGAAATATAAATAAGAGATAATATCTTCTTAGCTACTAATATAAACATCTAAGCAATACAGAGAATGCTTCTCAAGCAACAAAGGAATTAAGCTAAAGCAAACAATCTAGCAGCTTGCAGAAGCTTCCTGCAAACAATATATTTAACAAGCTTAAAGAAAGATTTCTCTTTAGCATTAGATAGAATAAGAAAACAATATAAATTGAATATCTCATCTATGGAATAGAGCTAGAAAAGCTCTTCATCTGCATTCCCTTGCAGAATATTAAGATATGAGGAAACAAGGATTCTCAGATCAGCTCACTTCACAACCTATATCACAAACTAGCTTGAATCTTCTACACTTATCATAGCTGCAGAATGCATTTCTCAAAGAAGATACAATACGAATAGTTTTCCATTAGAGAACCAGAACAAATCCTTCAAGCTGTTAAAGAACAGAAACTCCGCTTCAGAAAAGTTCTCAACAAACAGCACTACAATGCATACATCAGATTATCAAACAACTACTTCATGCAATATATAAACAAGGAAATAAAATAGTAGCAGTGCAAGATAATATTCTATACAATTTATATTAATGATAAGGCTTGTAACTAGCATTAACAGAAGAAAAATCAGAAATAATAATAATATAAGCAAAAGCAAGCTAAGAAGCTTGCTTAAGAAGCAGCAAAGCAAGCTTAGAAGAATAAGCAGTTCTTAACAAATCCAAAAAAACAGAATTGCTTATAAAAAAACTGCAGATAATCAGACTAGAACAGTTCCTATATAAAGCTTTTAAAGCAGATTATGCTCATATCAAGTTTGATATATATATTCAAGAATACAAATACAGCGCATTATTAGATAGTAGCGCTTAGAAAAACTTCATATTCCCACATATTATCAATCAGATATAACTACAATGAAAATGAAAGAAGCGCTTATACACTCTTAGCATCATAAAAGAACAATCTGTTGCATACAATTAAAGAGTAATCGATAAGAAGATTAATTATCTATCTGTTTTAATTCAAGAATATATAATCAGAGCTTCTTTTGATATTACAGATACAGCATAGCATAAGCTGATTATAGAGCTCTTATAGCTTAAGAAGCATAATTCTCGAATCAATTGAACTACTAGCTAGATCTTATAAGAACAAGCTATATTCAGAGAAATAGTTATAATTAACAGCACAGAATTGAAGCTAGTAATTAAAGAATACTCAGAAAAAGAAGCTTCATACAATTTCATACATACTTTCAAGTCAGCAGAGCTAGCAGTTCAAGGAGAAGGATCTAGTGATAAGCGAACTCTAATAGTACTAAAGCGCTAACAGGTTAGCAAAACAATAGAAGCAAGACTCTCAGCAAGTCAGTTCGCTTTGAAGCAATAAGGAAAAGCTTCAGAATGTGAATTATGAATCTATACAGGAAAAATCTTGAAACTAAGCTTTCAAGCATTCAGTTCAGCCCGGAGCAAACGCTTAAAGCTCTTAAAAATGCTATCAGAAAAGAAGTATGCTTAACAATATCTACTATTCCTTCAAATAGCAGAAACAGCACAAGAATTAGAACTAATACTTGCAAACATATTACAAGAATATTACAAGTTCAAGAAACTATTTTAGAAAGAATTGGATACAGGATTGCTAGAATACAGCTCATACAATTACAAGATTCTGCTACAAGAAGGAAAACAGCCCAAATTCTTCTTTATCTACAAACTAAACAAAGCATAGCTAAAAGCACTTCAGGAATATCTTAACGAGAATCTTAAGAAAGAATATATATAACTATTGCAATTACTAGCAGAATATTCTATTCTATTTATACTCAAAAAGAATAGCAAGCTTAAGCTATATATAAATTATAAGCAATTCAACAATATTATAATCAAAAACTGATACTTGTTACTACTTATTAAGAAATTATAAGATAGATTGCAAGAAGTATAGTGATTCATAGTTCTAAATCTGAAAAAAGCTTATAATCTAATTAGAATAAAGAAAGAAGAAGAATGGAAAACTGCTTTCAGAATACGCTATGAATACTACAAATATTTAGTTATATTCTTTAATCTAACAAATATCCCAGCTTCATTTCAGGAAATAATCAATCATATTCTATACAAGCATCTGAATCAGTTCGTTATTGCTTATCTCGATAACATTCTTATCTATTCTCAAACACTTGAAGAATACAAGAAACATATGAAAACAGTATTGCAAATGCTTTAAAATGCAAAACTTCTTATAAAATCCGCAAAGAGCTATTTTTACATACAAAAAGTTAATTATCTCGGATTCACAATCAAGCTAGAATGTATTAAGCTATAGAAAGATAAGATAGAAGCTATTAGAAATTAGCCAGTTCCTAGGAATATCAGAGATGTTAGATCTTTTCTCGGATATATTAACTTCTATAAGCAGTTTATTAAGAACTATAGCTGGATTGCATACTTTCTTATGAATCTTATCAAAAAAGAATAGCTTTTCAAATGAACTTTCAAAGCATAAGAAGCTTTTAATAAGATCATCAGGTATATTATCTTAAAGCTAGTTTTATATAAAGCAAACCTTTATAAACTCTTTAAAATTGAAACTAATGTATCAGAATATGCACTCGGAAAACAATTTGATTAGCGAGATAATCAAGAGCATTTAAGAATTATAAGCAACTTCTCAAAAAAGTTGAATAGCCCGGAAATCAATTATAGAATCCCTGATTAGAAACTTATAGCAATAGTAAAAGCTTTCAAGAAATAGCAGTATTATCTTATTAGCGCATAACATCCGATTATAGTTTACTCGAATTACAAGAATCTGATTATATTCATAATAATTAAGATTTTGAACAAGTAATAAATCAGATAAGCAGAATTCTTCTTATAATTCGATTTTAAAATTGTGCACTACAAAAGCTCAGAAAATGGATAAGCGAATGCTCTTAGCAGAAGATCAGACTATTGAGATGCAGATTTCTCGAATATATAGAATATTTTCGCTTAAAACGAGTTAGGAAATCTTGTTAATGCATATAGAGAACTGAATGCTGCTCTTAGAATCAGATTTTCAAAAAGAGATTTAGAATTAATAACTCCAAACAAATAAAACAATTATATTAAGAATATATACAGTATACCAGTATATAAGCACTAAGGAATTAGAGCAATTTATGAATATATCAAAAGATACTGAAATTTACTAGATCTTAGGAAAAGAATTGAGAATATTCTATAACAATATAATAGCTGCAAGAAGAATAAAGCAGAAAGATATAAGCCTTACAAACTACTGCATTCCTTATCAATATCTATAATTATTTAGCAATCTATTAATCTAAATTTCATTACTAAGCTATCTCTCTTATAAGAACTCTTAACTAAAGTACAATACAATAGCATTCTAATAATAATTTGCAAACTAAGCAAGTATACTTACTTTCTTCTCTATAAGAAAAGCAGTATAGCAGAGGAACTTGCATATGCATTCCTCAGAACGATTATCGCTAACTACAGCATGCTAGAGGAAATAATCTCTAATAGAAACAGAAAGTTTAATTCAAAGTTTTGAACTTTATTCATAAAACAGCTCAGAATATACTACAGAATATCTACAGCATTTTATTCACAAACAGATGAACAAACAGAAAGAATAAATCAAGTTATTAAATAGTATTTACAATACTATATTAATCAGAAATAGAATAACTGGATTAATCTATTGCTTCTTGCATAATTCGCTTATAATAATGCAGATATAAGTATAATAAAGAAATCATTATTCTTTATATTCTATAAATATAATCCAATAGCTTATTACAAAATACTGCTAGAAGCAGATGCAGAAGCTGCAAATAAAAGAGTTAAGAAGATTAAGAAAGTTTAGGAAGAATTCCGATTAGAATTATAATTCGTTCAGAAACGAATAGTATAATATGCAAACTCCAGAAGGATTGAGGAACTAATTCTATAGAAGGAAGATAAGATTTACCTATTTCGGAAAAATATCAAAACAACTAGATCTAGCAATAAGCTTGATTATAAAAAGTTAGAACTATTCAAAGTCTTGTAATAGATTTCTCTGATTAATTACAAGTTAGTATTATCTTATAAAATAAGAATATACTCAGTTTTTCATATCTTACTGCTGAAATTAGCAGCATAGGAAATATTAGCGAATAATACAGCAGAAGTAGAAAACAATGAATCAGAGTATAAAGTGGAAAAGATTCTCAAGCATAGAGGCACGAATAGTACGAAGGAATACCTTATCAAATGGAAAAGCTATTCAGCAAGCGAAAATTCTTGGGAACTATAGAAAAATGTTAAAAATGCTCAAGAAAAGATAGCTGAATATTGAAAAAGGAAAGCCAGCATCTAAGACAATCGCTCCGCCCCGAACCGAGATCCAGGGGCTTTAGAGACCTCGCTCTTCAGAAAATCCAACCAATCCACTACTGCATTCCTCATATCTACAGAATTCCAGTTGAAACCTCCAGAGGAAGAACCTTCAGGAGCAATAACGAGCTTCGCGGAAACTACAGCCTGCACCTCAGCAGCCACGCGCTCGCACTCCTCCTCCTCCAGGCCTTCGTTCACCAGCTTTATCCCCTTCTCCTGAAGAAAGCATTGCTGCTTCTTCAAACGAGACAAACAATCTAGAAACTCGAATAAACGAGCCTGAACATCCGCCAGCTCTCGCTAATGCTCCAACAAACGCTCCTCCTCCTCTACCTTCCTACTATCCAAACGAATCAACTCATTAGTAATACAAGATACTAAGGCAGTACTATTAGCAAGAATTAAAAAAGAGGAAAGGGAAGGCTTACGAGAAAACATAGAAACTCAACTAGCATTACAGAAACAACCTCGTTTCGTATACTAAGAATAGCTCTTAATCCTATCTACTATCTTGCATTGTATCCTCTCTTCCAGATACGATAAGCATAGCATAACTTCATAGCCAGTAGACTCAATATACGAATAATGCTTGAAGCAACGAAGATGCAGCTTCGAGAAAGTAACAGAAGCACCAGAAGAAGATTTGCTAATACAGGAATTTAAGATTCTATTCGATATCTCGATTAGAAAAGCATAACTATGCATACAGAAAACTTGCTGAATACTTACAGAAGATCGTTGAGAATAACAACTGATAGAAGGGAGATGATATTATAACCCATCCAACATACAGATCACGAAAACAGATTACAGGCAAACAAGAACCAGATATTATAACTCAATATTAAATAATTTACAAGGATTATATAATCCAGGATTAGAATTACAAGCCAACTAATCAAACAATAGAACAATTACTAGTAATCATCAGCGCTTAGTAATCAGTAGTAATTCGGAATAATCAGTAATGATTTAGAATGATTATTAGCAAGTAAGGAACTGAAGAATCAGGTATATGAAGGTTTATATTTCTTACTATCAGATAGATTTTCTTTAGATAGTTCTTCAGTTATCAATCTAAGTATTCAGTTTTCTATACTGAGTAGCTTCAAAGGCAGTAAATATTTGCATCGCTTATTAGAACTTGTACAGTTCTGTATTCAAGGATTTAATACTTTGATACCGCTCTTATTAGCATAAACCCCTTTGTATACTTAGGAATCTTCGGATTGCTGCAGTGCTCATTACAGTTTGCTTATAATAGCGCAGATACAAGCATAATAAAGAAGTTACTATTCTTTATACTCTACAGATATAATCCAACAGCTTATTACAAAGCACTGCTGGAAGCAGATGCAGAAGCTGCAGATAAAAGGATTAAGAAGATCAAGAAAGTTCAGAAGAAATTCCGATTAGAACTATAATTCGTTTAAGAACGAATAGTACGATATGCAAACTCCAAAAGAATTGAGAGACCAATTCTACAGGAGAGAGATAAAGCCTATCTACTTCGAAAAAACATCAAAACAATCAAACCCAGCAATAAACTCAACTATAAGAAGTTAGGATTATTCAAAATCTTGCAACAGATTTCTCCGATTAATTACGAGTTAGCATTATCTCATAGGATGAGGATATACTTGGTTTTCCACATCTTATTGCTGGAACTAGCAGTATAGGAAATACTGATAAATAATACAGCAGAAATGGAAAATAATGAATTAGAATATAAGATAGAGAAGATTCTCAAGCACAAAAGCATAAACAATACAAGGGAATATCTCGTTAAATGGAAAGATTATTCAGCAAGCGAAAAATCATGAGAATTATAGAAAAATATTAAAAATGCTTAGGAAAAGGTAGCTGAATATTGGAAAAGGAAGGAAACTAATATCTAAGACGATTGCTCCGCCCCAAACCAAGACTCAGAAGCCTCAGGAACCTCACTTTCCAGAAAGCCTAACCAATCTACTATAGAATCTCCCAAATCCACGGAGTTCCAGTCGAAACCTTCAAAGAAAGAATCCTCAGCTACAACAACAGATCCCTCTGCTACTACAGCCTACACTTCAGCAGCAATACGCACTCTCTCAGCTTCAGCCTTCTCAGCCTCTACACAATCCAATTCCTCTATGCAAGTAATACTATAATATAGAGCATGTTTCATCTTCTCAGACTATATCTGCTTCTATTAGCATAAATGGAGAAGCTTGATCTCTCTTTTCTCAATCTCATTTTCCAACTTTCGATATTAAGTAGCAATATTGTAAAGCTTCTCAGAGGAAGAGCTTATAATGTTGCACTTGGAGCAGCTCAGTCGAATGCATTCGATGCAACGAGAAGAGTCTCCGGAAGATACCTTGCAAGACCCGAAATCACAATCTTTGCAATAGAAGCAGACGAGTATTTTAATAAAATTTTCCAAGAGGCAGGAAACTAAGAGATTTCGATCTTGGATACTCTTTGGAATGGAAGAAGGTTTGCGAATACAGGATTTGTTGATTCTGTTCGATATTTTAATTAGGAAGGCAAGATCATGCATACGAAGAACTTGCTAGAATACTTACAGAAGATTATTGAGAATAACAACTAATAGAAGAGAGATGATATTATAACCTATCCAATATGCAGATTATAGAATAAGCTCTATCAATCAAGAGATCAGATATTATAATTCAACATCGGATACTAATCAGGATTATGTAATCCGGATTAGGATTACTAGCGTAATTATGTTGATTATGAATATAATCAATATATTTAGAAAACAATTATAAGGAATCGGAGCATAATTAGAATAATTAGAACTGAAGAGCTAGATATATAAGAATACGTTCATTACTATTAGATAGATTTAGTATATAGCTCTTCAGTTGTTAATCTAAGTATTCAGTTTCATATACTGAGTAGCTTCAAAGATAGTGAATATTTGCATTGCTTATTAGGACTTGTACGGTTCCGTATTCAAGAACTTGATACTTTGATACTGCTCTTGTTAGCATAAACCTCTTCGTGTACTTAGGAATCTTCGGATTGCTGCAGTGCTTATTACATCTAGCTAGTAATTCAATTAATTTGAGAATTGTGCTCTTTAAGCTATAGAAGTTCTATAATTAGCTTATATTATGCTATATCTGTGATATTAAAGAAAGCTCTAATTATATATTCTTGGATTAAGATAGATAGATGATTAGTTTTCTTATTGATTATTTCTTAGTTATATGCAACAGATTGTTCTTCTATAGTGCTGAGAGTATATAAGCATCTTTTTCATTTTTATTATAGTTGTATCTAATTGATGATATATGGGAATATAAAGTTTCTCTGAGTGCTACTATTCAATAGTATGCTATATTTGTATTCTTGAATATATATATTAAACTTGATATAAGCATAATCTGTTCTAGAAGCTTCATATAGAAACTGTTTCAGTTTAATTGTTTGCAGTTTCTTTATAAGCAATTCTATTCTTTTGGATTTGTTGAGAACTGTTTATTCTTCTAAGCTTGCTTTGCTACTTCTTGAGCAAGCTTCTTAGCTTGCTTTTGCTTATATCATTATTATTCCTGATCTTTCTTTTATTAATACTAGTTGCAAATCTTATCATTAATATGAATTGTATAAAGCATTGTTTTGCATTGCTACTATTCTATTTTCTTATTTATGTATTGCATAAAGCAATTATCTAGTAGCTTAATATATGTATTGTAGTACTGTTGTGGTGGCCAGGGTGGTAGTCCGTGGGACATGGAGTACAGTGGGTCAAGGGTCCTCATACATATAAAGGATACCACCCACTTTTCAAATTCTTTAGCTATAAGCAACAATCAAGCATCCTTTTCTCTTCTTTTCAATTTTTGAACCCCTTGGACAGGTCTAAGACAGGTTTTTCACCCTGTTCTTGTGCCCGTGTGGCCTTAGTTTGCTGTCCTCATCTGTACAGGCACGCTTGGGTTGCATGAGCCCTTGCCCATTGCTTCGGCAGCTGTTTGTCCCTTTTTCTTTCGAGGGCGACGGCGCCCTAGTTCTGGTTCAATGGTGCGGTGAGTGTGGACTTAGCTGTTCAGGCTGGTAGCTCAGGGCTGTTTGCGTCACAGTTCGTGAGGATCAGTAAGAGCAGCAAGTTTACCCTATGGACGGGCGCACTCTTTTTCCCTGCTGAGCTCTTTTATTTTCCTTTATCTATCACGCTTACACGACAGGCTGTGCATCATGTCTGGACTCTGGGTCATGCCTGAGACCTCTCGTAAAGGGGAGATGGGTGGACAGAGGAGGAGTGGTGTGAGTTCTGGTCGTGGGCTGGTGAACGATGCGTTGAGCCCGCGGGCCAATATTACGAAGAAACGAATTCCTTTTTCCAACATTTCCCACATCAATCAACGATCCTACACAGAAGCTGATACAGCTCAGACCTGTACAGGCTGCGGCGGAAAGTTTAACCATGTCGGATGTGGGTCCATGGTTAAATTACAGAGTGGGATGCTTTTGGTGGATGGTACTCTGTGGAGAAAAGTGGCATGGTTAACAAGGTCTGTGCTCCTTGCGATGGTCCGATCAGCACGCTCTACCTGGACACGTCTGGCCACATTGATCCTTTGGATCAAAAGCTTGCTGGTTGCATTATCCCAAAAGCGAAGGACACAGGGAGGTGAAGATGAGGAACCGTCAGTGCACACGAGGAATAGAGGTCGAGGATTACGACGACATCATCCGATGTCGAACTTTAATCGACGCCTTACACCTGGTCAGAAATGCCTCCATTGGTTGGCAGGACTATTGATAAAGGAAATCCCAGTGCAGCACAGAACAGCCAACTCAATCCCTTGTTGTTCATCACAAGACAGACCTCATGCACGCTCCACTCACAGACTGAACCTCCCTCAAGCACCTGAACCCCCTCGACCTCCACAGTATTGTCTTCCGCAGGATACGGAAGGCATTCCGGCTGTGGCGCCCTCAACTCAAGGATCTCGAACCAGAAAGCCAAAGAAACATCGAGGGAAGCGACAACCAGGAAAAAGGATAGCTTCTTCATCTGACAAGTCTCCTGACCCAACCCCGAGCTCGTTTGGTTCCTCTGCGAGTGGACAGTATGGATCTAACTTCCGGTTCCCTTCCCATAGCGAACTCGCTGGTGGCAGCTTGACACTGTTTTCTCGGATGGAAGTCTCATCATGGCTGAAGCGTTTCGACTGGTGGCGTCAAATCAAAGGCATTGACGACACTCAGGCGCTCAACTTCATGAAAGGCTTCTGTTCAGATGCAGTCGTTGCTGGGAAAGTAGAGAGATATACCACGAGTGCCAAGACATGGGGCGAACAGAAGGACCGACTGTTGGTTGCATATCAGCCCTGGGATCATCTCCAAGCATACACACCTGAGCAGGAGCGGCTGAACATCATCAACAACCGTTTCATTACTGATGCTGCGAGCTTGTGGTCATTCGTTGTTGACTATAACAACGCTCTTACCCGTCTCAAGATCAGGGATACTCAGCCTATTGCTGAGGCTTGGATGAAACTCCTCTCGACTTGGATCAAGCGTCTTCGAGCTGACCACGGTATTACCGCTGAGAAGGAGGAGACTCAAGACTAGCTTGCATCTGGCGCTGCAAATCCTCAACTCCATCAGCAGGCGCAATTCCAAGCTCCTTTGGTGCCACCACCTCAACCGATTCCTGACCAGGCGCGACCTGTGCTTGTTTCTCAGCCGACTCATGGTTTCCCCAATCACCCGCCAGCTCAGGTTGGGCAAACTGGGGGGACCATTGCACTACCAACCTCCTCAGCACTCAACCGGCGAATGGCAAGGCCAGCCTGAAGCAACTAAACAGATCCTGAAGCCCGAATCTGTCCAGAAGCCCGAGCAGGGGTTGAACCACTTGGCATCTCTGATGGAGCAACTTCGCATCGATCAGATTGCAATGGCTCACTCTTTGAGACTGCAATCTGAGACTCTCAGACAAACCCGGGATGTCTCATACGATCAGACCAAGGCTCTGCGGGAGATCTCACAGCTGATCAGGCGCCCCCAAACCATCTCTGCAAGGAATCCCCTTCAAGGGAGCACAAACTCTTTGCAGATGAGCACTGCTTATGCGAGCTCCTTGGCGGGGTGAACCAGACAACAACACCCTCGAGGTTCGGGAGATGGACATGAGCGACGACACTACATTCTGGGTCCCAGATATCATTGGCCATGATCCTATACCTGGTCAACCAAGTCCAAACCCAGGAGACATAGATCTGACAACCGAGACCGATGATAATGTCAGGGAAGAAAATAATGGTGGAGACGACGGACGTCTTACACGGGCAAGGGAGAAAGAGAAGCGAGAACAGGAGAAAGCGGATAGAAGCGGGATGTTTATAACAATTCCGACCAAGTCTGCCTTCTTGGCTCGTGGGGGAGGCTGATTTCTTTCTATCCATATTTCCTTTGGTTCGCAAAACACGTTTTCCTTTTGTCTTTCCTATGTTATCTCGTGTGTTTTGCTGGGGGAGGAGGGACGAAGTGTCGTCTGCTACCACCCACTACAGAATACTATAAAATCACCCAAATTTTAAAAGCACCCGGTACAGAGCATGTTGACCAGCTCTGAGACCATTTCACTATGAAGACCGCAGCTGCAGAAACGCAATGTATTGGAATGCAAGGCATGAAAATGCAAAGCGTTGAAGAACGCCGCAACCTAAAAGAACTCCTTCCGACCCCTATGCCAGCTCACCTCGAAGATCGCCAGCCGGTCCAGGAGCAACAATCCAGCTGTCAATGCAGCAAACGGCCAGGCCTGGTCAGACTACTGATGTTCCATTGCACCGAAGATTGAGAAGCAGCAATATCATGCGTTCTAATCTTCCTGACAGACCTCGGCAACCTCATGTGCCTTTGTGGAGTGAGCTCCATAGTCTTGCTCCTGTCAGACCCTCAGTAGGTCTTGAGAATTGGACAGGATTCGAGCATGCTATCAGGATGGATGTGTGGAGAGCAGACTGTGAAAGGATTGAACGGACGGTGGTTCAGAATAGAGAGAGGGCCACTGCTACTGCTGCTGCCCGGGCGGAGTTCGAGAACAGACAGGGACGAAGGGAAGGTCGACATTAGGATGTATCCAGATTGCGCCCGCGCTGCAAACAGATCATGGGCGGATATTGGTAATACTGCGTTGACTTGAGTGAGGACTCAGACAATCAAACTGGGTGCAGAGGTCGGATTGCGAAATGGTTTGGGTTGCAGTGCTTCCTTCGACAGCTTGCGATGGATTCTTTAGTTCTTTCTTTTCCTTTCTATCTGACCAGACCTGGCACACCATTGGACTTGTCGCAACTTTGGAAGAAAGTTGCTGGGGGAGGACTGTTGTGGTGGCCAGGGTGGTAGTCCGTGGGACATGGAGTACAGTGGGTCAAGGGTCCTCATACATATAAAGGATACCACCCACTTTTCAAATTCTTTAGCTATAAGCAACAATCAAGCATCCTTTTCTCTTCTTTTCAATTTTTGAACCCCTTGGACAGGTCTAAGACAGGTTTTTCACCCTGTTCT